ATTAATGTTTACTTAACAAATTTACCATTTCACTCATGACCTGAGAAATAAATCTTAGAACTTCTCAAATCTTTTCAAAAGATTTTTCTCGTTAAAATGACAGAACCTAGCTGAAGTAGTCGAGAAACTGTTCGAAGATGTGCTGAGAAACCTAATTTGAGCACTACAAAGTTCTTCATGATGATAAAAGAAGGGATGCTGGAGAAAGAGAGAGGGGGGAGCATAGATATAGAGAAAGAAAGAGACAATTGAGAGAAAAAAGGAGAAATAACAATCGAATGATTATTTGCCATCTCAACGATCAGATTCAAAAAACGTTCAGCCAATGTAAACACTTCTGTAAATATGCCAAATGGTAGTAGAGAACCTATAAATACCCGCAATTGACTCTCTAGAACTGTCATTCGGCTTTCATCTCATCATGAACTCTTTTGTACTCTCCACTCTTTTGATCGCTTTCTTTGTTGGCACTTCATCAGCATACCCTAAGCAACAGCAGCCACAAGCCAGAAATGGACAAGGAGACGACTACTGGTTTGCATATGGAGTAAGACACTTTAACTCAACTCATTCTTAATTGGGTTTTTTTAGAACAACAACAATTACGATTCCACTATGGATACCCAATATGAAACTATTCATCAGCAACTGAAAAACAGTAACCAGCAAACTATTGATGATTACAAGTCCGGAGCTTTGAATGATGAACAATTCAAAACTCATATGTACATCAACAATTACGAATATGAACAAGTGAGCTTACACTACACATTGACTCAGATAATCGCTCCATGTTTTCAGGGAGTTAGTGATCTTCTCACTTCATCAATCCAAAACTTGGTACGAGGTGTTAGCGGCAGCATTAGCAGCACAGTTCGACCTGATCGCCAACAAGCCATCACCAGATTGTAAAAACCTGTACAGACATATACTGCTCCTAAAATACGAATTGAAAAAAAGTATTCCAAAGTATAAAATGTGAATAACCGTTCTAGAAAAAAAATAAAAAAAATGATACATCTTCATTCTATATGTATGTGACTGTGATAAGAAATTGAGGGTACGATAGAAACGCTTGACTGGGTGCTTACTGTCCTAGTCTTACTTCTTCCTATGGCAATTGGAGCATGAAAAACGGTAATACTGTTACAAAGTGTATCAGTGCGTGAGTCGAGCCCGTGGACCGTACAGCTATCAGAGTCCGTGAAGTTTAGCATTTTGTGCTTTCTTTAAAACGCAATAAAGCGTACAGTAGTGTACGTACTTGGACGAGATCATGAATATACAAAAACTGATATGAAATAGTCAATGACAGAAAGTGTGGGCAACCCTGCGAGAACGGTATAAGCCCCATGTCATCGTCGAGTAGATCCATACCTATCCGAAAGCACTAGCAGAGAATGTGCAAATGAATGCAAAACAAAATTGCAATTTATAGTTCAAAATATCGGAGGACTCTATATCAAAACCGAAAATATGAAATGGTTCGTCATAGACTGAAGACTGCGCCCTCATTTTTCTCTCTATGGCAGTTAGAACATCCGAGATCTTCATGATTCAAATTCCGATTGGAGCACCTCTCCAGCTGTTCATTGATAAGCTACATGAGAACAGAGATTCCAGTCAGAGCTTGCGAGCTTGGAGCCACCTTTGTCACGATCG